GTTAGTGTGAACCTGTATGTTCATTCACTTGCAGCTTATAATTGAGTTTTCTTTGATGCCATTGATCTGAAATTTCTCAGGTTAATTTTCCTGTATCCATTAATTTGTATCTTCCTAGTAATATTCATTTTCATTAGAGTTAAAAAAAACCCCAAACAAACAGGAAACCACCACCAGAAAACTTTGTGCTGCTGCTCTGTATTCAGATGCTTTTTGCAGTGTATCACTGAATATTTGGGTTGAGTGTCTGGTACTTACTTGGTTTCTCTCGCTTGTTGCTGATAAAAATCAGATGGTGGCATGGTCACTTTAGAGACTGACATGTTGTCGCCTCTGATATGTTTAGCTCTTAGTCTTGTTCAGCCAACATGTGTATGCATGGAGGAGCTTTAGTGTTTTCTTAGTGCTAAAGGCTAAGGGTAATGTACAACATGCAGTTAGTGCTTCTTGCAGATGTGTGCACTACATGCTACTAGACCAAAGTGGTGGAATTTGTACAATTTGGTAGCCACACAGGTGTAGGAGACACTGTCTTGTATTAAGAGCCATTGCAATATCTGCATGCTGAAACTGCCATGCGAATGGGATATGTAATCTGCAAATAAGTACTTTTATTTAAAGAAAGCTCTAACAGCTCCAGGGGTTAAAGCAAAATCTGAGAGGAGAGTATTTGCCCGTCTGGACCTTTTAGGATTAGATCTTCCAGGATTCTGCCTGCTTATGAAATTTAGCGTCTACTTCCATCCAAAGAAGTAGCTCTTCCTACTAAACGTGCCAGCGTAAGAACTGTTGTCCTTTTAGTCAACTGGTGACTGCAGTTACTGTAGGCAGGGTGGTGCTTCTATGCTACATTGGACTGCTGCCTTTTTAGAGTAACACCAGGGATGCTGAAAGTTTAGTTTGTTTCGTGTTTTTGTTTTTTGAGGGGTTTTTTTTGTTTGTTTAAAGGAGGGGATTAATTAGCAACAGTGTATTGAGAGTAGCATTTTCTCATTTTCTGAGCATTGTATTGTGTTGTATGTATTACAGACTTTGTGCTGAGCAGATATTTGGTGATTGACTTGAGTTTTGAACATCTGAAATTAAAACCATAATACTTGAATGTGTCATTATGAGGTGACTAAGATAGCGGTGGCCACATTTTTCAGCAGGGTCATGTTTGTGTCATCCATTGGGCTCAAAGAAATACTAGTAGCGTGACTAGATGGTATATTAATTACAATGGCTATATTCAGATGCATAGATTTAGATTTGAATTAAATGACGAAATTAAATCTGACTGAAATTCTTCCATCAAACTTACTTGGGTTGAAGTACTGCGTAGGGATGCTGCTCCTTTTCTCACCGCGAGGCCAGCCAAGCAGTGGAAGAGGCTCACAGCGTGGCTGGGCAGGCTCTGTCCGTGGAGGTCTTCAAGACATGGCTGAAAGCCCTGAGCGACCTGCTCTGAGCTCGGAGCTGACCCTGCTTTGAGCAGGGGTTTGACTAGAGACCTACTGAGGCCCCTTCCAACCTGAATTATCCTGTGATCCTGGATTAGGACCTGGTTATGCTAAGCATTATGCAGAAGGGTGTTACGCTGTCCATAATCCCCTGTCCCAAGGTTGTCCTCGCAGCTAAAAATCTTTCTTAGAGTAATACCCACAGAAGTAATTTCAGTTGATGTTAAGCTGTCAGTGCCTGTTTTCTTTGTCTGAGACAGATCTGCCTTTTTCTTTTGCAAGCCTTTTCCTGTCAATTTTGCTAATCACTGTTTTAGATTCATAATGTTGATAAGCTTCCACTCAAATTCTCGCTAATTGTGGAATAATACATACTTTAAGTAGATATGGAGATGTGCACGCAGAAAAGAATAAAAGCAAAGATAGTACCTGGAGGATGCATTAGTCTAATACGGCCAAAACTGTCTACAGAGGCAGCAATGGTTTAAAAGAGATTCAGGCAGGAATTGGCTTTTGAAGGTGAGCTGGGCTAATGAAAGCAAGATAGTTTCTTAAATAATGTTGCTGGGTCTTGGCAATAAAGATTCAGATGGGGTAGCCTGCAAGAGGGGTGAGCAGAAACAAGTGAATTACCACATCACTGCAGAAATTTGAAGAATATTGCAGTCCTGAAAGAAGGAAACATTTTAGAAGATATGTTTCATAGAAGACTGAAAAAGGAGAGGGGAAGAAACATCAAGGCATTTAAAATAGTACTGGGGCTGAGTAAACTTAACGCTTAAAGTTTGTGGAGACCCTAATTCTGAGTTAAATTCTAGTAGGGATCAGAGAGCCGAAACTGAGAACAAGACTGCCAGAAAATCCTAACTTAGTTTTGGAGGTAGCTTTTGGGATTTACTAGACTGCAGAACATTAATTGCTTCAAATTGCAGAAGGAAAAGAGAGAGACAACTCTCTTAATGATGGGTGATGTCAGTTTTGGTGATCTTGACGTGCAGGATTGTGATATCCTTGCACTGTCATTACAGCGAGCTGAGTAAGCAATCTGCAGACCCTTTGGAAAATTGAAAAGTAAAGTTAAATCTCCCAACAAAGAGTCTGCAAAATGCAGACAAAGCGAATTTATGTGAAAGTTGGAACGTGGAAGGCTAATGCTTAAAGTGCTGCCCTTCCTTTGGGCAGAGTTGCTGTGTAAGAAGTGAAACTATTTTACAAAAGCCCATCAAAAGGGACCAGAAGTGATTTAAAAAAAGCATTGTGTGTGTAATATTCTGTACCACAAAGAAGAGGTGGAAGAGGTTTTTTTCTCTTAAACAGCTCCTAAGGCTACTTCCAGCTATTTGTAGCATTGCCTTGATTGCGAGCGGTGGTCGGGTTATGTGTGCACCTGTGGCCAAGCGTAGCACTGGATGTTGCCTAAGGTTTGAAAGGAAACCCAGCCCTGTGGCCACAGGCAAAGTGCAGATTAGAGACAGGTTAAATTGCTCATCTTTCTGGGTAGGTATAAAAATAGCACAAGATTGCTTCTCCCTCCCTCTCCCTCTTCAGGCTAATGGTTCTGGAAAGAAGTGAGCTGCATGGTCTCACCGGCAATGACCACGCAACCCTTTGGGGCAGAGGTTGCTTTCCAAAGACACCAGGGTACCTGCACAGCTGGTGTAGGTCAGCGAGTGAATTGAGCCGGGTTCTGCCTCCCGTGGGGCTGTGTGTGTATCTCGTCAGTAAGGCTGGCTGCTCGGGTCAGAAACAGCTGGGGTGGGAAGAGGGAAGCATGGGAAGTGCTGGTCCAGCGAAGGAACTGCATGAAGCGTAGAATGGGAACGGAAGAGCTAATTTTCTAGCAAACAGGAAATAAGCAAATGCTAACAGAGCTGTTTGATGTTAAACATTGCCAAGAAAATTTGGGGCAAAGGCGAATCTGGTGCTGTGCATCTAATGTGTTAAAAAAATCTTTGGATTTGTGCGCTAGTGTTGAAAGAGTTTGCATGTGCTGGGAACCCCTTCTCCCTCCCTAATTTTTGCATTGTTTCCTCTCTGCAAAAGAAACTTTATTAAAGCACATGACTGCAAAAATACAACCGTACCGGGGGGGGGGGGGGGGTTTTGGAAGCATGGGAGCTAAATGTTCTGCAAAAGTTTGTTTTTAGTATACTAATTTTCAAGACACCTGCAACTGGAAAAAAGTCAAGATTGTCCAAAAGTCTTAAAAAGCTGGAGACTTGAATTCAAACTTAGGTTTGGCACTGCTAAAATAGCCCCTTTGAAAGTGAAACTGTTGTCTGCCATGTTTCTATATAGGTCTGAGCTTTCTACTGAGCACCTGATGATAGTGTTCAAGGAAATTCATTATTCCTGCAAAAAGGCAAAACGTAATATGGTAACAGGTTAGATGGGCTGGAGCATTTGCTATTGCAAGAATGCACGTGTATCTGCGTGTTTTGTACGGTGGTAAAATGTGGATGCAAAAGGCAGTGATGTGTTGGGTTGCTGTTGTGGCAAGTCCTCACTAAAGAGGTGTGAACTTCAAGGGACGTAGGAGGCATCTTCACCTCTTTTGCCTCTGCAGAACGAGGAGGTGCAATACATGGGATGTCTCCCAGCAGTGAGACCGCAGGCTGCTGAGGAGTCTCTGGGCCACAGCCTCCCTTCAGAGCAGCACTGTGAGACCTATTTACTCATTCACAAAGTAGATTTTCTAGCAAACGTTGAGACTTACCAGCAAATGGCTGCTGCTGACCTCAGTAGTTTTGTCCCCGTTGGAAGGGGAAGGGCAGGCTTCTCCCAGACTCCTCCAGCTGAAACGTGGTCGGTGCCTCCCGGGACAAAGGTCCCTGGCCAGGGAGGGAAGCACTGGCTCTTTTGGCTTCTTTCTTTCTCCTGGCATTGAAATTACCTATTAAACTGCACCCTGTCTCTAAAGCCCCAAGGAGAAGGCTTCTTGTTGGCCACCACATGAGAACATTGTGAGAGGAGCACTGAAGGATGCCCAGAGGAGCGAGGCGGGGCAGGACCAGGGAAAGCAAAGGAAAACACGACTCAGAAGGCACCTAGGAGCAACTGGTGCCTCAGGGAGGATGAGGATGCAGAACTGGTCCTGAGGTCTGGCTAGGAGAAGTTTGTCAGTGGGCTTGACAGAAGTTGTTTGGGTGGAGGGTAATGGTGAGTGAAGGATGCACTCTGTGTAATAATTGTAGGCCAAGTCTTCAGTGAGCAATGGGCTGGTGTTGGGTTTTGAGGGTTGTTCAGAGAAACAGATGCCTTGGCCTGTTCTGGTCAGACTCTCATGGGAATGACACAAGGTTGCTATACACGTGCTGCATGAACCAAAAGTTTCTGTGCACAGCCTGTGCCTCCAGATGAATTTTTGGGGAAGCTTCACAAAACAGTTTCACAATTTCCACTGTCAATAAAGCTCAGTAACGAGAGGGCATACTGTTCTCAAATGACGAAATATTTATACTTTGTGGTCTCATAGTTCTAAGTTGATTAAAGCGCTGTTTTTCATCAGTATAACGGTATAACAAACATACCTCAAATGTTTCCTTCTTCTGGTTATAGATGGATGGTGATAGCTCCACAACGGATGCTTCTCAGTTAGGAATTGCTGGAGATTACATTGGTGGCAGTCACTATGTGATACAGCCTCACGATGGTAAGAAATGTTACAATAAATACTCTTTCTGTGTATGTGTATATATATCTATTTCCTTCCAGTTCTTGTATATTCTCTGCTATCTTCTCTCAAGCTAAGAATTTGCAATTGTTTGTATTCATAATGCCTCGCTGTATAAAGCATATTTTCTGCAGTCTGGAGGTGGGGGTTGGATTTGTCAAAGTTGACACTGAGTCCTTCAGGGTGATGACAAAAAAATAGATGTTGTAGGAACCAGTTTGTATTTTGACATGACATTAAGAATGCTTGGTGTTCAGCAGCCACATACATTTCTGTGCATAATATAAGATGATATTGAACACCCATAAAGGTACACTGGTGTTACATCTATTGTTTTAATTATTTCTACAATGTTAACACACTGGCCTTTCAAACGTTCTTCATCCTTCAGTATAAGATTTTAAACTTGACTTAATTATTGCCAGCCGTCTATCAAATACAATTTCTGTTAACTTTTCTTTATTTCATTAGACACAGAGGACAGCATGAATGATCACGAAGATACAAATGGCTCAAAAGAGAGTTTTAGAGAACAAGATATTTATCTTCCAATTGCAAATGTGGCAAGGATAATGAAAAATGCCATACCCCAAACAGGAAAGGTAATACCCTTGTTGGGTAAAGAAAGCGTTTTAATGGATTTTATTCCTTCCTCTGAGTGAACTTGAGCTGGTAGAACAATACATTTTTCCAAATGATCCTGGTTTATGGGAGAAAAGCCTTTAAAAAACAAAACAAAACAAAAAAACCACTAAGCAGGAGGTGATTGAGACCAAGTCCATTTTTTTTTGATTTCTGAAAGCTTTTAGTAACTGCCGTAATTAGAGTATCCACAACAGTGCTCTTCGTAGGGCTTTCAGGAGCTTTCTTTTTCTAAGATGTGTTCTCTGAAATTGTCGTAATGGGTAAGACTTGGTGACAATCCCATATCATTAAGAATATTTTCTATGTGATTCCCCCTTATGAAATTTAATCTGCTTTTATTATATTCT